AAATAGAAGACATGTTCTAAAAGATGCAACAACTACGGATAAATGTCGATTATCCTCAGTGACACTGGAATAAATCCAATATATCATAGGTGGCTGTGGAGTGTTAGGTGGCACCGAGTATCTCCAGAGGCATAACAATGTGGCTAAAATTTTTCAACAGATGCCTGGTGGTGAAGCTTAACTTATTAGATGACAAAACTCTATATTATAAGTACCACCCAAATAAACTCCTCTAAAAAGGTAGTCTCAAGCTCTACTGGGATGAATCTATTATAAATCACAATAAACCAGATATCCTCCTGATAGATATGAGAGAGAAAAAAGCAGAGCTTATCGATGACGGGATCCCCAATCATAATAATATAAGCTCCGCTGTTGGAGAAAAACTGAGAAAATACCAGGAACTGGCAATTGAATTGAAGGAATTATATCATTTGGGGAGTGTCACCACCACATCAATTATAATATCCTTTAATGGACTGATACCAAAGACAACAGTGGCAGGCACGATGGGTTTAAAATTACATCTTGATTTGCTGAAAGAGGCTCAACACACAGTTCTCTTGGACACAGCACGTATTTTTAGAAAATGTTTAAACATCTAAAAAAATAATAAATATTAATATGAAGGTGGCTGGACTTCTGGTCCTCAGAAACTCACCCTACTAAGCAAGAATAAAAAATAAAAGGCTTAGCAAAGTTAGTAATTAAATTTTATTTAATTTATATTATTTAATCAAACTCAAATTTTATCCCAAAATTATTTTAGGTGTAATATGAGACGAAGTACACAGACACTGTTCCAATGTTTTATGTTTTTTTAAATAGAAAAAGTAAATAAAAACAAAGCATGATAAGATAATAGTTATATGACAATTAGAAAATATATAACATATGTTCTTCTTTCTTTGGCACTATGTCCCATTAAATACCTTGGCCTCCTCAACTATTTTCCTCCATCCAGACTAAGCCTCTGTCGCTTCTCTCCAATAGCTCACACCCAGTAACTTTAGATCTTCCTCTACATTGTCTGTCTATTGTGGTCTAGGAGGTCTGCTTCTTCCTCTTTCTCCATCTGGACTTTCTTCTATTATTTGCTTTGGGAGTCTTTTTTGATCCATCTGATAAACATGGTTCAACCATCTTATTCTCCCCTTTTTAATGCAAGAAACTATGTCAGGTTCCCCAAATAGGTCGTTAAGTTCTGCATTGTAATTGTATTTCATACATATATGAATTGTTAAGAAGGGCATATATTACATAATATATCCGATGCTCAAAAAGGGTGATATTCTGGATTGTTTCAATTACAGAGGGATTATACTTCATCAATATACATATAAAGTTATGTCCAGAATTATATACAAGATACTCCTCTTTGCTGAGAAAGAAATTGGCAGGTATCAGTCTGGTTTCAGAAGGAGTAGATATACGACTGATCAGATATTCAGCATCAGGATGATCTTTAAAAAATTATACGAGTACCAGAAGACTACCCACTACCTGTTTGTCGATTTTCAAGATGTGTATGACAGTATAAAAAGGCCTAAGTTAAATGCAGTACTTTGCAAAATGGTAATACTGTTAAAACTTCTCCACCTAGCCTAATCAGCGAGCACTGTTAGGATACAGTCAGATGTTTCATCAGAGTTTGTTTCTACAAGAGTTGTCAGACAATGATGGGCTGGCTTGTCTGCTATTTAATTTAGCTTTAGAAAAGGTCATCCGTGAGTCGGGAATACAGACTTCAGATACTGACAATATTTCCAATAACTCAATTCCAGTACTTATCACCCATGATATGTAGAACATTCGACCAGCTTCCTTCAATATTCCAGTACTTGGTTTTGCTCTACCAAGTGTCAATTATATAGGATCCTCATCAGGCCTGTCCTAACTTATGGATCGGAGTCTTGGACTCTCACAAGTTCAAAGGAAAAGGAAAATACTTCACCATATATTTTGAGCTGTGAAGAAATGTAACAATTGGAGAAGGGGGACAAATGCAGAGGGTTATGGACTATACGGATTTGCAGATTTAATGACGTATATAAAATTGGGCAAACTACATTATGCTGGCCACGTTGAAGGGATGCCAACAGAAGAGATCCCAAGGAGGATGCTGGATGGGAGACTATACAGGACCAGAGGAAGAGGCAAGAATCGATTAAGATGGGAGGATATGGTAACAAGGGATGCCTGAGAGCTACTGAGCACACACAACTGGAGAGCGCCTTCCCAGGATAGATTGATCTAGTGAAGAATCATTAAGGAGGCCAAGGACCACACCAGGCTGTAATGACACAGAGTAGTATATGAATTGTTAATGTTATTGATTAATGATGTGTTATAATAATAGAGATGAATATGGTGAATAATGAAAGCTTCTTTAGGTATAAGATGTAAAATAAAACAATACAAATTATTGAGAGACTGTTATTGGTAAAAATCCTGATCTTCAAAGAATATGAAATAGTCTCATATTACCTAATATAATAAAATAAAACGCTTTTGTGATCTTTTTTTTATGATTGCGAATTGTAAAAATTTAATAATTTGTGTAATATCCTCTGTTACACATTACCTTTCTGCACCTATAGGGCATACAGTTTATAATATTTTCACTGATTTCACAAGAAATTTCATACCATAAACATGGTAATACTGCTTTCAGTAGCTGAAGGTCAAGCTGCAGATGGTGGTCAAAAAGATCTCTGCAGTGCATCCCACATGTGCTCATTGGTATCGATATGCTGAGACAATATGGGAAGGGGCAGATGTGAAGTATCCAGATTTTCAAGACATTGACGAACAACTTTTCCCCTATGAGGTTGTGTGTTATCCTCAAGAAAATTGAAATCCTTGCCAATTATGGTCTTGTTTGAGAAATGTACTCCTCTGTAATTTCTATAAAAACTCATCTGTAAACATAACAGCATTCCAATTTGTATTCTCATCCAGGCACACACTGTACCATAATCCGGAAAGTTGCCGGTGATGCACTGTTGCTGCAGGTCATCTTAAAGGGACATAAGATTTTAGACCAACTTCTCACTAACAATTATGAATGGTTTGACTTGATTTGGGCCTTGGCAGAACGTTAGACACTTCATTTAGGCTCTGTCAGGCACTATGAAAAGGATTGCTTCTTACGTAGTAACAATAATTCTGTTATCTCTTGGTGTTGTAACGCGCTGAGATCCACTAGCAGGTCTCCTATTGGTACTTCTGGTTTCTCTGAATTTGGCTAAAGCCAGGAATACCACAATCTCGTGCCCTTGACCGCACATTCTCACAATAATATGCGAACTTCTGGTTCACTATGGTGTCTGGCCATCATTAAACAGAATATTACTGGATTAAAATTGAGAAAAGCACAAAACAACTCTTGGATTACATAAAGAGTATTCTTCATGTTGACTATCCTTTTGTTAATAATTTATTAAAAATAAAGAATACTAGTTTTTACATTTTATGTTTAACAAATTAGAGAATGCCTAACAAATAAACAAAAACAATAGGGTATTTTAATTAAATCAAATCAAATAAGAAATAAATAGAAATATCCCTATTCGTTTTTGAGTAGTTCATAAACATAGCAGTAAACCAAGAGAAAAATATGAATAGATCACATTAATTAAATAAATAAATAGTACAAATAAATTAAAAATTAATAAGAAGTGTGCATAAAACAACTAGAATAAATGTATTGAATTTTTAAATCATAAAAATAAATTGGAATACAATAGAACATTATAAATTGAGGTTTAATAACTAAAAATAGTATAATTGTGGGTAAATGGTTGACTGTCGTGAATAATGAAGAGAAGAATAGTTGGGGTGATCAGTCAAATACGATCAGTCAAATAAGAAGGCAAAAATAAATGATAATATTTATTTTGACATTTGCCGACGTTTCGACCTGAAGTTCAGGCCTTCATCAGGGCTGCCTCCAAAAAGGTTGTTGGAGAAGTGGTCTATGTTGTTTATTAAGTTTTTTGACATTTTGATAAAGCATGTCAGACAAAAATCATTGCCCTACATGCTTGGATTGAAACATCAACAAACTTAATAAACAAAATAAATGACTGCATATCCTGACTTTTTTTTATCCTTCAAATAGTAACTTAACAATTATTAGTCATTAAGCTACTATTTAAATAAAACTGCAAAATCAAAATTACTATTTATATAAAGGTAATTGTTAAGCTACTGTTTAAACTAGTTACTTTTTATTCAATTGTAATATGATCCCATCCGTTCTCCCATATAATTAGTTAGCCATATTCTTTTTAGTTACTAAATCTCACCATATAATGTTCTATTGTATTGCAATTATTTTTTATAATTCAAAAGTTCACATTAATGATTCTAGTCGTTTTACACATACTTCATATTTATTTACTGGTACTATTTATTAATGTAATTTATGGGTACTATTTATCTTTTTCTCTTGGTGTTTATATTAATATTATATTGTGAATACTATTTATCTTTCACTCTTGGTTTATTAATGTAATTCTGTCAATCAGTTATATTTCTAATGTATTTTTTAATTTTTAGCCCTGATTATGACCAACTTGCTAGGGTCGAAATGTTGGCAACTAAAATAAAAAAAATTAGACTAAAAATCCAGACCAGTGCCAGCCTTATACATTCGGTACATCCAGGCAATGACGTCATCCCCTCCTACAAAAATTAAATTTATTTCTTAAGCTGTTTTATATTATTTAATATTTGAATTTTATTTCATTCAACATTTCTCTAATACAGTTGCTTTATTTATAGGCTAAAATTAATTATTTTGATATTTCATGTATTTTTTTTAAATTTCTAACAAGTGGCGGGAGCCCGTAAAGATTGACCGGCTCCCCCAACAGATACCCTTCCAGGTCAATGCCCCGAGGCAATTGCCCCAGTTGCCCCACCCTAAGGCCGGCACTGATCCTAACTATCTATTATACTTAATAATTTTAAAAATAGTAAAAAAAATATCTATATTATAAAAGTGGTAATAAAATATTGGGATCAAAAGTAAAATACCTTTCATTGATAAGCCTTTCAACTACACTTTTTCCATAAAAAATAAGTAGAAATGTATTAATAAATTTTATCCTATTCGTAATATTTAAAGGGTTTCTTATTTGAAGCAATAATTCATCTAGCCTATCATTAACTTTGTACATTAAACTTTTCATTGCTTTCAAATTTCCCTGAAAACATTAACCTTTATAGATGTGGGGCATATATATATATATATATATATATATATATATATATATATATATATATATATATTTTTATATATATATATATATATATATTTTTTTTTTTTTTTTTTTTTTTTTTTTTCTCGATAAACAACACCTAATACCTCATTAACTTGCATGAGTGAATATTCAACTTCTGCTGTCCACCAAATCTTACAGGCTACCAATGTACATACTCCAGCATGGTTAATAATCCAGTCAGAGCTAAAATAAATATTAAAGAAATAATACTGTTTTTATGAAATAATTGTTAGAGAATATCATAATTCTATACCACGACTGTTTGACTGATGCATAATTGTAAATTGACATTTTAATTATATACTTCACGGTTTTTTTCATTTCTTGAACCACAGAATTCATCCATATTGGTACAGATTTTATCATTTTAATTTGATTTTTGAAAGAAATCATTTCACCTTCTTTAGAAACCATCCCTGTTACATAGTTTTCATTTAATTTGTCTTCAGTGAATGAGATATTTAATGAAGATACATTAAGAAATATCTGAAATTTTAAATGAGTATTATAATGTTTTGAAGTATATCCATTATATATATATATATATATATATATATATATATATATATATATATATATATATATATATATATATATATATATATATATATATATATATATATATATATATATATATAAGACAGATATGTAGATTTATAAGAATATAAATTATCTAAATATACATATATAAACATTAAGCACTAGTAAATACAGGGGAGCAGCCAGCAGACCCAAAAAATAACAAAATAATTTATTTTCCATTGGACCATATTTGTTATTGTGACTGGTCTGAGCTGAATGCTTAAAAAGTTGCGATATGTACTCTTTTTAAACTATAGCACAAAGTTAATAAATGTAAAAAGGTTTCAACGAAACATTGTAAAAAAATTATCCCTAAAATGATTATTATTCCTGTGATTACCATTTATATATCTTCTTCTTATTCGGCATTACGACCCATTATTTGAGTCATAGCCTGCTCAAGCTTAGACCGCCAGTCCTCCCAGTTCTGTGCTGCTGCCTTCCAGTTCATAACACCGAGCAGAGATCTCGTGTCTGCAGCCACGCAGTCTTCCCAGCGAAGTCTGGGGCGTCCAACCCGCCTAGTACCATACATTTGCCCAGCTAAGATCTTGTAAGGAACTTTGTTTGGATCCATCCTTATGACGTGACCATCCCAGTGAAGTCTTGATACTTTTACAAATGTTGATACGTCTATTACTTTGTACCTCGCTCTTAACTTAGTATTCGTTCTTCTTCTCCATGCGCCTTCCTCATATATACCACCATATATACGGCGACACACTTTTCTTTCAAAACGGAGAAAGAGATGCTCAAGGGCTTTAGTTGTAGTCCAACTAAAGTCCCGCGTGCTGCGCCCCGGTGCCAGAGGGGATTTTAAATTCCCCGGCCTTACCCTCCGGCCCGGGGAAATCCCGTGTAGCCTAAATGGCGAGGTAGGGAAGAACAAAAAAAAAAATAATAATAATAAAAATAAAATAAGAATGATTCCACTCTTTCAAATCTATGGCAACCTATCGAGACATGACTCCCATCATCTTTGTGGTTAGGTAGGGTGCACATATATCTCGTTTTTCCAACATTCACCATTAGGCCCAATCTTGCTTCAGACTCTTCTAATGCTTTAAAAGTTTCTCTTATGGCGTTTATAGTCCTTCCTGCAAGATCCAAGTCATCCGGAAATCCTAAAATCTGGACTGACTTGTTGAGAGTAATCAGTAGTTCCTAGCTAACTTCTTATACCAGGTTATTAAATCCAAGCAACCCTCCTATATTCTATAGAGCCTATAGTGTAAATCCTCCATTCAATCCCATCCCATTCGTCTGACCTCTATCCATCTCACCGAACTGCTGCAGTTTGAGAAATTCTTTGAATTTCAAGTCTCCCTTTGGAATTCTATCCTTCCTGATATTCGACACTCAAAATCAGTCTTCTCTTTCGAATCTCTCCTCCTTAAGCACCCATTACATTCCCAATCCACTTGATTATGAAATACACGTAAGAGTCTAAGTTATAAGCCTCTCCAAATACTATTTATTTATTTTATCTTTCTCTGTTTATTTTATATTTATTAATGTATATATATATATATATATATATATATATATATATATATATATATATATATATATATATACACTGACAGGCAAAAAATTCCACCCACTTAATTTTTTCATGCTTTCATCTAAAAATATTTCACCCACTTGTAAAAAAAGTTGTATTTGTATATAATACATGGTATTTGTAGATAATACTTAGTATTTATGGAATTTTATAATCTTTTTACCTTTAATAATCAAAATGTGATTGGGTAAGAATGAATAGAGAAAAAAAAAATTGAAAAACGAACCATTATTATTCTAAAAGAAATTAATTACATCATCGTTTACTAGCGCGTGTTTCCTTGAAGACACCTCGGCATACTTTCCACCAGTCGGGAAATGTCCCTTTGCTGGAGGACAGCCCATTCCTCCCAAAGAGCCCTTTAAAGGTCCTGCAGTGTATCAGGAAGTGTTGCACGCGCTCTTATTCGTCTTCCGAGGTTATCCCATAAATGCTCAATGGGGTTCAAATCTGGAGAACGTGCTGGCCAGGCTAAAACCTCAATATTGTTCTATTGAAGGAACGTCTGCACTATGCGGGCGACATGTGGGTGTGCATTATCGTGCATTAGAATAGAACGATCGCCGATTTCGTTGAGGATAGGCAACACATGAGGTTCCAAAATCTCATCTACATAGCGAATGGCCATCAAAGACCCTCCACGAACAACAACCAATTCTGTGCGGTGCTCCGTTGAAATCCCAGCCCACACCATTAAGGAACCACTTTGGAAAGGTTGGCTCTGGGAAAAATTACAGGATGCATATCTTTTGTTTCTTCTCCTCCACACCCTTTCACGCGAGTGAACCTTGACTCATTTGTAAAAAGTACAGCACTCCGTTCGTCCATAGTCCAATGGCTGTGTTCTCGAGCAAAAGCCAGCCGTGTTACTCTGTGAGTTCTGGTCAACTCTGGTCCTCTTACTGGACGAAAAGCCATTAATCCATACTCATTTAATCTTCTCCGAGCGGTACGTTCAGAAATTTGCACACCTTGACCTTCTTCGAGCTGATGAATCGCTTGAACAACGGTAAGGTGCCGGTTTCGTAAACTTCTCAAAGTCAAAAACCGGTCAACCCGTGGTTCTGTTACCCTAGGCCGTCCAGAAACGGGCCTTCTATTGTAAGAACCAGTTTCCCGAAAACGCCTGATGGCGTCTCGTAAAGTTTCATATGGAACCCCGATGGCATTAGCTGCATATCTAATGGAACGTCCATCATCAATAAGTGCCACACCACGCGCAACATCCTCAGCACTAAGAGGCATTTTTAAACTTAATATTGAAAAAATTAAAAGCCGGAGACTAAGAAATGTGCTGCAAGAAACGCCACTGAACTAATGATACTGAATAAACATTTTGATTCCATAGAAAGTAAACATTGGAATCTAGAATCATTTCATTGAATTAAGGATTAAGGGTTAATGTCCTCTATATTAATTGAAAACAAACAAAAAGATTACCTATTTATTCATTAAAAACAATAGACCAATCCAAAGCAGAAATATTTTTAGATGAAAACATGAAAAAATCAAGTGGGTGGAATTTTTTACCTGCCAGTGTATTTTATTTAAAAGTCTTAAAGACAGAAAAGAACAAAAAAAATATATATATGAATTTTAGGCGATACCAAATATCACTAATAAGGTCTTTATGTCTGGAGATATATAGGTCTTTAAAATATCGGTATCTGCTCAAATTTAAGTTTATGTCATTTTGGTGGCGACTTATTGAAGCATTTATTAGCAATATTAATAATATTCCAAGAGAAACCCTATGAATCATGATAAAATAGGATATTGATGCCAATATTCGTCCAATAGAAGGAAAAACAAGAAAAATAGATGGTTAAACAAGATGGTCCTTAAATAAAATAAGGATGTGAGGCTGATTTATCGGTCTTCAAAATATTGGTATCTACTCAAAAATAATAATAATAAAAAATAAAAAAATGATCAAACTCTGCCAATTTTAATAAAATAAGGTAGTAAGCCCGATATAATAATAATAATAATAATGCTTTATTTATTCTGGACGAGTCCCTTTAGAATAATATAGAAAGACAATAATGTGGGCTAAGGAGCCTTAGAGATACATAAACAAAAATATAGAGTAATTAAATAGTCAAAATAAAAAAAATAATAGAAAAAATTATAAGTTACTTACTAATTTAGATCAGTTAATAATAAAAAACAAAAAATTGAAAATAAACATGAGATAAAAAATAATGAAGAACGAGCTAATAATTTATATACATATTTACAGTAGTAACTATTTACAATTTTATAGGGATTGGATGGATAAGAAATGATTGAACAGGCGGGATTTAAAGGTAGGAAGGATTTTGGATTGACAGATGTGGGGAGGGATGGAGTTCCATAGGGATGAGGATCGGATTATGAACGATCGGTCGAAACCAGCGGTTCAGTGGGCCCTTATGTATAAATCAGAAGACCGGGAACGAGTATTGCGGGATCAAACGGAGGATTTGAATTGAAGGAGATCGGAGATGTATGAAGGACGGTGGGACTGGATGACTTGAAAGAGGAAGGATGCCAGGAAATACTTGCGAAGGAAATAGGATATAGCCACTTCAACTCTGCATAAAAACGAGAAACAGAGGCGTCCCTTGGGATCCCGAAGATGAATCGTACAAACCAATTTATCAAACGTTTTAATTTCGCCTCGAGATCCCCAGAGACGCCCCAATATACCGTACAGCAATAGTCAAAATGGGGAAAAATCAAGGAAGTTACTAGGAGTCTACGGGTTTCAAGGGAAAATAGATGACGGGAGTAATTTAGACGTTTTAAAGTGGAAATGGTTCGGTGGGATATGTTTGATATATGATTTTTCCAGGAAAGCGTTTGATCAAAGATCATTCCAAGGTTTTTGATGGAGGGATAAAATTTGATGGGATTATCATGTAGGTACAGAGTTGGAATATTAGGAACAGTTTTAAGGAGGTGATTGGATCCTATTAAGATTGCCTTCGTCTTTTCTGCATTCAACTTCAACTTGTTAGCTCTCCCCCAGTCACAAATCCTATCCAAGTCTTCTTGAAGTTTTTCTGTTGCTCATAATAGGTCGGTGGGCGGGAAGGACAGATATATTTGGAAATCATCTGCATAGATATGGTATTGGGAGTGATGGATCAGGAGGAGAAGGTCATTAATATAAATAGCAAACAGAGTGGGAGATAGAGAGGAACCTTGAGGGACACCACAGGAGAGGGAGAGGGTTTTAGATGGAGGTTGACCTGGGACTACATACTGGGACCGATTTGAAAGG